CTCAGACCAGATTACATATGGACTACTCCACTGCCTGCACAGGTTACAGTAGCCTGCACTGCACTGTTACTTTGTTGAGCTAATCAGTGCTCTTCGGAGTAAAATTGTGCCACTACATGCTACTATTCTTTCATTCAGGGTGAGGTCAAGTGCTGCAGAGAGGAAAGCAAAAACTCTCTTGAAGAAAGTTTGAGTCCCATTCCTGAACAAGTTCCTCTCCGGGCCACCAACTCAAAGCCATGCTCTCCAAATTGCTTTCCTCCCTGCAGGGAGAAAGATGCTCCCCCACATAGGTTAAAATCAAGCAGCTTGGGGAGGGGAGTGATTTTGAGATGCAAAGCAAATGCGGAACCTAGAATTAAGTAGCCCCTCCCTTCCTGCTTTTCTTCCAGTTAAGATTTGTCGCCTACGTAGGATCCTTTTGCTTTAAAAAAAAAAGCAGAGAAAAGGAGCATGGAACTCCTTCAAATGTCTAGATCAGTGCTTAAGTGGATTACAGGGAAAAGGCACTCTGAACACATGCTAGTATGCATGGTATATACGGTATGTTCCCAAGCCTGCATTTTCAGAGTGACTAGTGCACACTCAAAGCCATCTTTTCCACACCTCTGAACTCCCCAAAGATTGGCTCTTTTCTGTTCCTGAACAGACCAAGACTAGAGGATATCCCTATTTTCATTGGAAAAATGTTAGAGGGTATGCTTTCAGGGCTGCTCTGCTTAATGCTTGCAAAGGAAATCGAGAATAACCACTGGATAATGCAGTCCAGGCCTTGATTCCAAACTCTGCCTGGGACAACATGTAGTCTTTGCATAATGTTGAAAAAAGTTGGAGATGTACCTTTTACTCAAGCTGTGATATACATCAACAGCTTTACATGAGCTTAGTGTATTTTCCCCTCAATGAAGGTTATAGATGTTGCCCTAAGGCTATGTATTCATAGTGCATGATGTCACAGTAAGCAAGTTTAGCACTATTGAGTAGGAGTGGGAAAGCTGGTTATTTATCCCTTGTACTTCTGAAAAACTTCTTGAGCAAAAGTATGTCCAGCATCAGTGCTATGTGTGCACTTTAGTGTTCCTAAAATATGGACTGAGATATGTCCTCAAACCAAAATTTTAAAATAAAAGCTTTTAAATATAAAATTGTATAGAAAACATGCAACAATTATTCATTTCCCCAGAGGTATATTCTATCATTTCTCCCAGAAGTGGCTTGAGGGGAAGAATAAATCTTTATTTATAAAAGGTGTATTTATAAAATTAATTTTGACAGGATATTTTTAACCTGTTGCTGTTCATAACTTAGCACCTAAAATTAAGTGTTTGAGGGTATTGATAATTTTTTGCAGATTAGTTCCAAATACAGGGCTTATACCAGTGCTCAAAATTCCCCTGACACCAGGTGAATTTGCAACTAGCGTGGGTCCAATTGCGACTATGTGGAGATCTCTGAATGCCAGGTTGATTACTGACATCTCCATCTGGCTGGCCCCTCCAGTTTTCTTAATGAAGTAAGCAGAAGAACTCAGTTATTGCATTTATAGCCCATCTTTTTCTCCAAGGAGTACATGGTTCCCCCTCCCCGCAGTTAATCCGTACAATGACCCTGTGAGGTAGATTAAGAGGCTGTGACTGGCCCAAGGTCACCCAGTGAGCTTCATGGCTTGAGTGGGGATTTGAACCCTGTTATCTCACAGGTCCTATGGGGCAGCTATATAAATTAAGTAGGTAAAGAAATAAGGGGAAAGCTTGAATTTGTTTTATTTGATGTGTTGTAAACCACTTTGGCATTTTTTCTTTAAAATATGAAGCGGCATAGAAATCAAATAAATAGTAATAATAACAACAGTAAATCTCATTGGGAAAAAGGTGCCTAGACATTGCATTGCAGCGACTGTAAACTAGGTTTAAGCTGCCATTTGGTGATTAGCTTATATATCTGAGTTTGTAACACTGGTTTATACTCTTCTAATATGGATTAGAATTGCAAATGTACGTTTAATTCCCCCTCCCCCACTTAAATTTTAGATCTTCAAAAGGAAGGAGGAGGCATTCTGCACAACACTGCTTCAGAGATGCACTTTCAGCTTAATCAGTCTCCCTACAAAATCCTGGCTGAAATGTTCTAAGACAGTGATATCCAACAAGTAGATTGCGATCTGCTCAACAAAGATTGCTTCATAAAAAAAAGTTCAACAACCTTGGTAGATCACTGCCAGTTTTTTAATAGTGTGAGTAGATCTCAGTCTCTTGAAAGTTGGACATGCCTGTTCTAAGAGGAAGCCCATATCCAAAAGCAAATGACAACAAATCATATGCAAAGGAGAAGTGAATATTACAAACCCCAAAACATGGCTAAGCATGCTAAGAGGTAACACATCTCCAAAGGATGTGGGGAAATTATATAAAAGCAAACCAAGTGCACTGGAGAATTACATTACAAATCCATCTGTTTTAAATGGGACTTCTAATCAAATCAGCTTTATCTTCTCTTTTCTCCCCCAATAGCCTAAAAATAAAACAGGCTGTCAGTTTTTCTAAAAACAGACATGGGTCTCTAGCTGGGGATTTCCCCAAGGAATGGTCCAAGAACCACAGAATCAACCTGAGAACCACAACAAAATATTTTCCATCGCTCTATAGCCCGTGTTTCCTTGCCTTTCCAATAAATTTCCTTCATGTGCAAAAACTAAAACCTAAAATAAAAATGGGACACATCCAGACAGAAAAGCCTTTAGAAGCAAACTGTGATGAACATGTAAAGCAAGCATGTTTGAGCAACTTTGTTCAGTTTGCCTAGTTTGCATTGCAATCTGACAGACATTTCTTAGTAGTAAGCACCATTAAAATCAGTGGGACTTGGAAGTAAAGATGTTCAGGGGTGGACTACACAGTCTATAAATAGGTCTTATGATTACCGTGCAGCAAGCAACAAAGGGAAGCCACAGCTTGAAACAGTAAGCAACAATTTTGACAACCAAATAACCATTTCTTTCTGTAAACCATGCCCATTTACAGTGTCCAAATTTCACACTGTCCTGTACAGATTCTTAAGCACATACGCTTACAGAATTTGCTATTCCAGATTCCAGAACCTTTAATTCATTCATGTTGGTCTGGTCCACTTACCTAGTCTGCATTTACACACAAGTCTATTCCATTTTCACAATGTTCCCCTAACTGTCATTTTTGCACATTCTATTTGAACTTCCACCCTTCCGGAAACACAGCAGAAAATAGCACCCATTTCTGCATTATTTGCAAATGAAGTCTAGAAAGAAATAACACTGAAATTAGAGCTAAACTTGTGCTATATTCTGCTACATTTCCAGAAATGGCTTTTATGGCACCTAAAAGTTCAAATACAATGCTGAAATTAGCATTTAAGGGATAGTTGGGATAATGGAATTAACTGCTGTGTGAATACAGCCTCAAAATGATTTCCATTTAGCTTTCAAGAAAATGGACCAGAGATGAGTACACAAAGTATGGATGATGTGTAATGTTCAGTGGATTTAAGCCTGCTGATTTCAATGGATCTAGTCTTGAGTATACATTAGTTGGATATCATCCAAGTATATTTATGATTGATATTGGTTGTAAAACATACCGTAAAGGCAATTTACATCACTAGGGCCAAAGTCTTGACCTCAATAAAATTCAGAATTTCACCATTCTGGAAGTCTGGATTTGTGGAAAGACAAATGTTTGTGGAGAGTGGGAATGGTTTCGTTAAACCTTTCAGCCGCAAGCTGTAAAACCAACACATAATAGACGCAAGGTACTTGGAAAAAAAGTCACAAGAGGTGAAGGCTGTTCTTGTTTAAACTTGCCTAACTTTCACCGCGGAAAAAAATCAAAGGGCCCAGACATCTCTTTAAACTGTTTGCGCAGACTCACCTCACCAGGACCAAAACCGAATAAATGTTTTTAAGAGCGTAGGAAGAAAAGTGAGACAGAGAAAATTATAAGCCACAACGATTGAGGGGGCGGGCTAGTGAGGGAAGAGAAGACAGGGCCACCACTGCCTGTCTGCATTTAACCTTTTCAAGGAGCGATGCTGCTGCTGCTGCAGCAGCCGCTCTCTACCACGTCGGCCCTTTTCGGCTGTTTGCTAACAGCACCGAGAGGGAGGAAGTCACGCCTCTCTCAGCAGATCTCGTTTCACTCCGAGGCCTTAAACTTTTCGCCTTTTTTCCTGGAAGCACGGGAGGCAGGAGGGACAGGGAGGCATGGAAACCGGGAAAGGTTTCCCCTCCGGCTTTGAAAAAGCACGAGGAGAGAAGCCCCGAGATCTGTGATCGCTACAGGATTCCTCCCCAGGAAAGCGCGGGCTGCCTCTGACGCCGATGCGAGGGGAAGTTTGAAAGGAAGAAAGCGCTCTCTCCGTCTGCCTCGCTCCCAAACTTCACGCCACATTGGGAGGGGGGAGGTCGGGGAGAGACAAAGGCAGGACCCCGAAAGCCGCGCGGATGCCGGGGCGGGGGCACTTTTCTGTCCCGTCCTAAAAGTTTGAAACCGCATCGCCAAGCTCCTCTCGAAACCCGCCGCGCCTCGTGCAGCCACGCGCTCCCTCGCTCCAAGCCTGAGGTGGGAAAGGCTTCAAGGCTTGCAGGACCTACCCGCTTTCCCTTTGCCTTTGTTCGCAGGGATCCCCCCCTCCAGCTACATCCAGGTGGGAAAGAAATAACCCGCTTCACGTGAGCCTAGGGATTTGCGCGGAGTGTCAGCCTTGGTACCCGCAATCCTTCCGCACAAAGCCTTGCATCCCACCAGCCCCCATTTCTGCAACAGACTGAAGCGCAGAGAGAAGAAGGGTCGCCTCACGAGCGACCTCGTTCAACTCGCCCAGGCTGGCCCCTTGCCCCCCACTGGCCCAAGAGGCAAGTCCTCCATCAGAGGTGGGGAAGGCGCCAGCGTCCTAACAGCCAGGCAGCTGCGGAGATCTTTGCAGCGTCAGGCGGCCGCTCCTCTCCACAGACGTTCGCTTTTCCTTACCGCGCCCGGCGGGCTGCTGCTCTTTCGCTAACCTCCAGCGTGGCTGGAGCCGCTTGCGCTGCAGCGCCGGGGCTTTCCCGCCTTGGGCTCCCAGCAGCCTGTGCTTCCCGGCGGCGGCTCCTTGCTGCCTCACTCTTCGGCCCTCCCGTCGCTCCGGCGGGTCTTCAGCGCGAAGGGACGGAGCCTCATCTGGGCAGGAGGCCGTGGCGGAGAGAGGGAGGAGGGAGACGGACGGACGGACGGTGGGAGGGACGGACGGACAGAGCCTGGCGCTAAGACGGCGCTGCGCCGCGCCTCGGCTGCGAGCAAGAAGTCCGAGAAGGCGAGGGAGTCCGCGGCAGGAGGAGAAGGAGGCTCCGCCCGCTGCAGCCGCCGCCAACGGCCTGCCCACTCGAGGAGAGGGAAGCCCTCCGGGTCGCGGGGCGAGCCCGGCCCCTCCTCCGCGCACAAGGGAAAGTTCAGAGGCAGGCGAGGAGACGGGGCAGCTGGACGAGTCCGCTGCGCTAGGGGACGCCGCCCGAGCGAGGTCTCGGAGGGCTTTCGCCTGCCACAAGCCAGCCCCCAATATTGCTGAGTATTGGAGGGGAGCTTGCAGGTCTGGGTGAGCCCGGCCCCCTGCTCCAGGCAGGAAAGCTAGAGAAGGGCTGAGCCTCCCCACCTTGAAGACTCCCAGGAAGGGAAACCCCTGCGCCAACCTGGTGACTTTGTTCGAAGGTTAAAAGGTTAGGGCGCTTTGGGCCGGGAGGACACGTTCCCTTAAAGAGGAAGTGGACTCGTAGGGGCCCCGTCCCAATGAAATATTTGAGGCGTCCGCCCCCAAAATTGATGGGCATTGCCATTCAAATAGTGTTCGTGCATCGCGTCATGTGATTGATTATGCAGAGTAGGGCTTACCTGCCTCCCCCATTTTATTCAGGTTGGCACCCCTGATGGGGGGGTGTTTAATTTTTAATCTTAGCAGACCTCTTGACATTTAATGCACCTAACGCAGCACGTTCTTTCATTAATTTCAGTGTTTCTGCTTGGGAGTGAACACCTAAGGCCCTCTTTCCTGGGTTGGTAATGTGGTTGTTAGGGCCTGTTTGCTCGCAGCTCTTTCACACGTGTTTTCTGCATGGGGTGCTTCCCACAAGGCAGGAGGAGCTGCTGTTGTGAGGATAGCCCAGAGTTCCCGTCTCCTGTTTGACTTCTGGGAAAGGGGGAAACCAGCACATTGGGAAGATGTGGATTCTAGACTGGAAGCGAAACATTTCTCTCTTTTTTTACACCAGAGTCCAAACTCCAGCTTCCCTCTCTGTTTGACCTCTCTCTGAGGGAGGACAAAATGGGACGTAAACAGCACAGTCAAATATACTCAAAAGTTCTTTTCTATAGGACTTACTCTCAGGTAAAGGCTGTCTGAGGCGGTGATGCTGTACAGACTTACTAGGGAATAAGCCCCACTGAACACGGTCTTATTTCTGCATGAATATGTAGAAGCTTGCACTGAAAGGGTAAAGATTTCTTGAAATGGGGGGGGGGGACCTGTGCCATGAATGTAGCATGAGACTGGCGATTCAGTCGTGATCTTTTGAGTTACATGTAAATTGGTGCGCCATCCGAATTAAAACCTAGGACAAACCTGTCTGAAAGACAAACAGGGTGATGAAGATGGTACTCCTAATTACTGTCAAGCACAGGAGTCCCTTAGGCATAAAGCCAGGATTTTTGTTGGGGTGCACTACCAACATGATTGGTCAGTCAGTTAAGTATTTCTATCGTTTTAGTTGATGGGGAGGGCAGCGTATGAGAGTCCACTGTTGCCTGCATAACTTAAGTTTACTGTACATTGGGATACTGTTTGCTAAAAAGCATTATTTGCCCTGTTCTTGCAGAAGCTCTTCTGACAGAACCAGATGTCTTTCCTTCCTTCCTTCCTTCCTGCATTCTCAAAAGTGGGCTTGTGGTAAAGCAATCTGATATTCTTAGTCAAAACAAAGAAAATTCCTTCCAGTAGTTTTGACTATGGCAGACCAACACGGCTACCTATCTGTAACTGATATTCTTAGAAAACACCCAAACTGAGGGTCTGGTTCAGCCCCTCCCATAAGCCTTTCCTTTTTCTTTTTTATGCCCCAAGATTTTATCAGTTTGGTAGTGGTGGCATCCACGAAGATGAATAAATAAATAAAGTGGGCACAGAGAGGTTTAGGGATGCAAATTGCCCCCTCTCCAGTCATCAGATTAATGATTTGATAAGTAGGGAGGGGTGATAATTCCATCCTCATCTGATATGCTGAAGGGGGCGTTTCTGTCCTGTGACTGAGAATGTGTGAGAGTTACCCTGCAGGAAAATTATTATTTACTTCACTGGGTGGGAGCTAATAAGTTGTAAGCTGCTACAATGATTTAATGTTTCTGAGGGCCACCACTACCCATAAAAAAAGGAAAGATGTCTACATTTCTGACACAAGTTAACTTTGTATTTTCTGTAAAGGGCATGTGAAACAAAAGTCTTCCTGCCCACGAAGCCCCCATTAGTTGAAACTCCAGTATGTTTGTTTCCCACTATGATTTTCGTCATGTAAAGGCCATTCAACACCTACAGAAAACTTATGATCAATGCATGTTGGGTAGACCGAAAAGCCAAGATTAGAATCCATTATCATACCTTCAACTCAGGAGCTGAACCATTGCAGAAAGAATCCCCCCTTTCCCCAAGGTAAAGAAAAGACACTTGGGACATGCTGCCTTTTACTCTTGGCTTGTGCAATTCAAAGCAAAACCACAGAATGCTGTCCTGTGCATCATAAAACACTGGTATTACATTACAAGATGACATATTCACCAGAGAATCTGCACTAGTTTTGTGTCAACACTCTTTGAAAAATAGTCTCGAAACTCCAAATAAGAGGAACTTGAGTGACACATCAGTATCTGAGAGAAATCTTAAGTGTGTACTTTTCCATGAATTATTTTTGGCTGCATCATAGATCTATGTTTCACTGTACTTTGCCATTATAATGAGGAGTTGCAGGCTAGTATTACCTTTACTTTCGGTTTAGAATCAAACCTGTTTCCACTCTCAGAATCATAGAACTGTAGTGTTGGAAGGGACCCTGAGGACCATCTAGTTCATGGGTAGGCAAACTAAGGCCCAGGGGTCGGATCTGGCCCAATCACCTTCTTAATCCGGCCTGCGGACAGTCTGGGAATCAGTGTGTTTTTACATGAGTAGAATGTGTCCTTTTATTTAAAATGCTTCTCTGGGTTATTTGTGGGGCACAGGAATTTGTTCATTCCCCCCCCAAAAAAAAATATAGTCCAGCCCCCCACAAGGTCTGAGGGACAGTGGACCGGCCCCCTGCTGAAAAAGTTTGCTGACCCCTGTCTAATACCCTGCAAATAACTGCAATGCTTCTCATAGCAAGCAGATTAAATAAGATTGCTCATAGCTTTAATAATAATGGGCAGATTAAATGTGATTGTCAGGAATGTGACACATCCCGTTTCCAAGATTTTGATATATTGTGTATTCTCTTTTATATAACACTACCACTTCAGCCTGAAAGTCTGCCTTCTAGTGCCCTGATTTTACCTTATTGGAACTGGAAGCAAGAGAAATTGTGCCCCAAGGCAAATAAAGCAAGCCAGCCTAATGTCAACACTGCTGATTGGCTAGGCACCAGTGGCTGCCTGAATATAGGTACCTAGCCTTCAACATGTTTTGGGTGCAATTCCCATCAGTCATGGCTAGCATTTCCAGTGTTCAGTTCTGTGATTTACCCTACATGATTTGGGACTGCGTTATCTGAAAGAGCACATTCTCCCCTATGAGCCTGTCTAATTTTAAGGGAGAGGCCCTTCTCTCTGAGCTGCCAACATTTGAAGAACATTTGGCAGGAATTGGAGGGAGGGCCTTGTCAGTGGCTCCCCCTGTTCTGTGGAACTCCTTGCCAAATAAGACCTGGCTAGATCCTTCTCTGATAAACTTCCACAAGAAGGCAAATATAAGTCATAAGCTGACTTATAAATATGTCATAATTGGTTTTGTAGTTTTTATTGCTATTTTAGCTACCTTGGGGGTTTTTAAAAATGTATTTTCTTCCTGTTTTATCCTATTTTCTTATATATTTTTTTGTATTTGCATTATAGTTGTTTGCCACCTTGAGCTTCATTTGGTAGAAAAGCCAAGATACAAATAATTTTACATACGACCTTTCTATATACATAAAAATGTAAGGTTTTCATTGTGCAGCCCACATTGGAGGATTTACAGTGTTGTATCACAGTCTTGAGGGACACGGGTGGCGCTGTGGACTTGCCGATCGTCAGGTCGGTGGTTCAAATCCCTGCGGCAGGGTGCGCTCCCGTCGTTCAGTCCCAGCACCTGCCAACCTAGCAGTTCGAAAGCAAGTAGATAAATAGGGACCGCTTACTAGCGGGAAGGTAAACGGCGTTCCGTGTGCTGCGCTGGCTCACCAGATGCAGTTTGTCACGCTGGCCACGTGACCCGGAAGTGTCTGCGGACAGCGCTGGCTCCCGGCCTATAGAGTGAGATGAGCGCACAACCCTAGAGTCTGTCAAGACTGGCCCGTATGGGCAGGGGTACCTTTACCTTTTTTATCACAGTCTTGGATTCACCTGAAGTCAGGGCAGGGGGCTTAAGATAAAACAGCAGCAGAGGTTTGAATAAAGCAGGGATGGAAAGATACCAGTACATAGGAGCTATGAGAGAACATGGGGCTTGAAGGAGCTGGGGGGAGAGAGGGGGAGATTCCCCTTCACTTCACTGGCCATTTTATCAAAATGTTCCTTCTATTATTTCCTCTTTTTTCATACATCAGCAGCTTCCTTTTAAAAAGTTTCCAAAGTATTTGAAAACCGTGATTTTTGAAAATAAATATGACTTTACACAGTTTATTCTGGTTACCCAAATCTGCATTTTCAGATATGGAATCTGATGAATTGATCTAAAAGTATCTCCAAACTATTGTCTTGTATTATGCACATGAACCCAACTGGACCCTAGAACTTACACATTATCTCTTCCCTTGTGCATGCTGATTCCCTTCCTCCTTTTCTTCAACCAAACCAGCAAGTTATGGCTGCACTTGCCCTGCAAACCAGGTATTGATCCTGGTTTCTAATATTGGTTTCCAGGGAAAGCACAAGCCATAGTCTGCCAATTCAGATGAAACAGTCACCTGTGTTTTGCCTCACACCGTGAAGGAGAAAAGGAATTGCAGTATGGCGGGGAAGATGAGAGTCCAGCCAGGTTCATGCACAGAGTATCATACCACTTGACATTGCACCTGAACCATCCCTGTCTCTCTGCTTGCAAAATAGCAGAACTGGATTCAGCCACTTGATGCCACTCAACACTGGGGAAGAGAAACCTGCCATGCTGCACTCATTGTACTGAACTGAAACAAACTGAAATTCCAGCAGAGGGTGATGGCTTATGCCACCTAATTTGCTTATTTATGCTCTCTCCCCCTCCCCCCCCCAGCGAAGCCTGACCTTTGATCAACTGTTCTGTTTCTCATGAAAACTATAATTTACTCTTCAGTGTAGTCAACAAAATGCCCATCACTACAGCACATAGGCTGCACAAAAAAACAGAGCTTCCTTTACCTGTCTACTATTTTTGTCCTGCTGCTGGATAATATGTTACTTTTCTCATGCTAATTTAATTATAAACGTATTACAGTGGTACCTCAGGT